CAGAGCCTGACTTCCGCCAAGCCTGCTCTGCATTTTCTTTGGAGCCATGCTAACACCCATACCATAAACCTTCGCAAAACACTGCAAAACACACCACAAGCCTCACCGAACGTCTCCTTGCTACCGTGACCTCGCCCACAGGAAGCCGCGACCGCGTGGCAGCAGGGAAAATGGCCGCGGATCCGGTTCGTAAGTCGAGGCGAGTTCGTAACCCAGGGTACTACTGTACTTAGGAAAAAATGCTGAAGTAAAAATGCCTTGGCAACACAGAATGAACTAGATTTTTGAAGATCAACACGCACACACAATTTAGAATACTTGAGTAGAAATTAGTATTATAGAAGAGAATCACAGTGTCAGAGCTTTAGAAAGGTTCACTGAAGACTATTGAATCCAACTCCCTGCTAAGGTGAGAGATCCAAATTAAACTATTCCTGGTAGATGGTTAATAATTTGTTTTTGAACATCTAGTAAAAAGGGACACACCATCTTCCTTGGTAATTGGTTCCACTACTGAATCACTCTTAGTTCCTCTCCTCCATATATCCAAACAGAATGTGTCTTCTTATATAGAATTGTATAGATTTGCCACCTACAGCCAAGCTGTAATGAAGACCAAACAGGAATATTATGAAGAAAAAACCTCATCAAACATTGCAAATGTCATCTCCTCAATACATACCTTTCACCCTCTGCTCTTTCTTCTTGCTGATTTAGAACTTTACAGCCTCCAAGTTTTCAATCTGAAATAGTAAAATACAATTCAGATTTCCAGATCTGAAACTGGCCATCCATAGACTGTTTGGACCATGGTTGTTCATCCCTAAACAAACACCCCTGAAATGAAATGAAAGTTACTTCTCTGGGAAAAAAAAGTGCTTAGGAGTAGAAGGCTCTGAAGATCATCACTAAATATATATCACCTCTAACATCTTGTTTGCAGATTAGCATGCTATTCCAATAGAAGAGAATATCTGTAGCTCAGGGTTGAACTGTGTAGTTCTTGGTGCTCTCTGAGCTTAGTTGTTTGCTTGCAGACATTTCATTACCCGACTAGGTAACATCATCAGTGCTAGTGAGTGTGGGGTTTTCTCCTGGTTTATATACAGTAGCAAACCCCACACTCACTAGCACTGATGATGTTACCTAGTTGAGTAATGAAATGTGTGCAAGCAACTAAGCTCAGAGAGCATCAAGGACTCCACATAGCATGCTATAGAAGAGAATATCTGTAGCTCAGGGTTGAACTGTAGAGTCCTTTGGGTTCTCTGAGCTTGCTTGTTCACTGGCAGATGTTTCATTACCCAACTTCTGGTAAGGTAACATCTTCAGTGCTAAAAGGGAGTGGGGTTTGCTCTCTGTTTATATACAGTTGCTTGCCATGTTAGTGTTGGAGGGGGTGTTGTTGTTTTTTCTTGATAATTCCTAGTTTAGGCTGTTGTTTACTGCTTGATTGTTTGTCTGGTGTTAATCCTGGCTTATCTGGGTGTTGATAGCCTGCTATGTTGCAGGCATTCGCAGAAGGCACTACTGTTTTTATTAAAATACCATTTTATATTAGAAAGTGGCAAACCTTTTGGGGGGATTAGGGTGCCCAAAAGGATAGAGAACATTGGGTGAAATCAAGAGGGAGGATGTAAATTAACATCCACACATTAAGTTAGTGGAAAAACCCAATATTTTGCCTCTGGCATCAGCTAACCAGGTGCTACCAAGAAATGCAGAGTAAGGCAAGAAAGCCCTAGATATTTGTCTATTAGTGCTCCCTTCGCAGGTCAACTTATTTTGCCTTTCCATGATTCTATCTCCTACATTAATTAATTCATTGAAACATAATGCTCCAAGACTAATTAAAAACCTCTTAGCTTCAACTGAAAAAAAAAAAAATCACACTATTAATACAGACTTGCTTAGTCCCTGCAGGACTTGTTTACCCTGCAAGTTAATTTCCTCTGATATATTTCTATAATTATCTGTCTTACACTTACTTGTTTTCTTCTTTCCAATATGGACATCTATGGACAGATGTCACATCGCATACATTGTGAGTACCATGTGAGATTCAGAGCACAATTATACACAGCTGGAGGTAGATGAAAGGTTTCATGTCCAGTTGATTTTTGCCCTTGCTGTAGATAGAAAAGGCGTTCCTCAAGATATACATATATCGTATATCTGTATAGGATTCATAAAGAGACACAAGAATGCAAGAAGACTTCCTTTTTGCATTAATTCAGGGAGAACTCTATTCAAGTTTAATCAGTTCATGTATTAAAATTTAAAACTGAGCAACTCAGGATGGATAGCAGTTTGTATTTTTGTGTGTGTGTGTGTGTGTCAGAGAGAAAGAGAGACAGAGATTATATATGAATTATTTTTATTTTATTTAAATTTATTATAGCCACCCAGCTCCCATGGAATCTGTAGGGTTATGTAGGCTTATGTATATAGAAATGTATTCCCTATATTTTTTCTGTTATAACTGGTAGTTCTTATTAGTTAATTGTGATTTTTTTCTGTTTCTCATTTTTATTACTATCATAACTTGCTTTGGGACATGATTATGGATATACTGTAAGTGTTATGACAGGTTGATAGGTAAAGAGACAAGTAGGACTCTGAAGAATTTTGATTTAGACATTAAATTTGTAGATAGTTGAATCTAATCTCACGATCAGATTTAATTTTAAAATCTAATCAGCAGTTTTGAAACAAATCATGCAATTCACTAGGTGGACCCAGTAATTCTATAATTCTATTGGTTGGAAGCACTAAATCAAATAAATTTTCTGAAACAAACTGATCTATTAAGAATATATGAATCAGCTTGGAGGTGATTTCCACCTATCATTTAGACAGACAAAATCTTGCTAGCTGTTTGAAATCTCTCTTCTCACTCTTCACATAATATTAGACAATTTCTGCTTAGAGTCTTTATAATGTATGTATGGGAGTTACACTGAAAGGTAGAGTTGCCCATTGTGGACATGTCAAGAATATCAACAACCAATTGCCCCCAAGCTCAAGAAATGCAAAGCAAGGTTCCTTTTAAGCTATAGAAAAGGTGCTGAAAAGGAGTTCCAAATTTAAATTGGATGACTCTAAAAGGAAACTGCGCCCTCATGTTAATAGAAGACAATCAAGAAAGTTTCTTATTTAGCTGAACGTATT